CAGCAGAGTCCCAAATGTGGCTCGTCCGCCGCTCAGCCCTCCCAGCCCTTCAAAGGCAAAGGGGACAGGGGTAGCGACCTCCAGGGCATGGGGTTTGGGTCCATGGGGCAAGACTGCCAGTGACAAACAGCTTCATTGTCCTGCCTCACGTTGAAGGCAATCCCACCAGTGGAAGTGTGTTCCGATGAGCTCAGACTTCCCTCCCCGGGGCCCCCGGATTGCAGGGTGAGGGGCATCCTGGGAGCCACTCCCTGTAGCCGGGTTTAGTGTAAATTGGCTTTAGGACTGCTTTCTTCTCCAGTGTAAGTGAAGTGTCCCAGGCCAGCCTGAGACCCCCAAGGATCTGAGGGTGGGGATGAGGGTAGGACACGCACACGCAGGCACACACACACCCACGTGAAATGAGAGTCTCTGGGAGGGAGTTCACCGACTCCCTCCCTGGGCTCAGTATTGGCCTCTGCTCTGTTCCTCATGTGTCCCTGCTGGGCGGAGGCACAGAGGCGGACACGCCCGTGAGCCAGTGATGTCTTACGAGAAGAGGCTAGGTCACAGGTACAGAATCCCAGCAGTGTCCTGGACTCTGCTTACTTCCTCCTCCTCCGCCCCCGCCTCTGAAGCTGCTGGACCCCCTCCCACCAGGGTAGGCCCACCCTGGTCCCGGGACCTGTCTCAGCTGAGTCCCTGAGCTTCCACCTTTCCTAAGATGAAGCTGCACCCCACCGACCCACCCCCAGCGCTGTTCTTCTCTGCTGCCCAGTGTCTGAGTCTGTCCTCACAAGCTGCCTCATGTCCCGCCCGCTCTGCGACCACCCCAGGCACCGAGCTCCGGATGCAGGTGTCCAGCCCCGCGTCTGGCTGTGCCACAGCTCGCCTGGTGCTGCCTGCCTGGACATTGTCCGTCACCTCCTGGCTTGTAAGCCTGCCCTCCCTCGGGCTGCTGGACTGCTTCTGTGACTGCGGGTTAGACCCATGCACTGGCTGCCAGTCCAGCTCACCACCAGCCTGGGCCTCCATCTTGGCTGTTGGATCTGCCCTCCCACCCTGAGGGAGTTCAGGCTCTAGGTCTTAGCTTCTCTCAACCACCACAGGAAACCGACTGGAGGTCATCAGCTGCACTCCTCACCAGAAGCACAGATCCCTCAGAGCCTCCCTAGGAGCCCTGGGAAAGGTCCGGGGATGGAGCCTGTTGCCTCACCAGGCAGGCCAGCCCGGGGTTTGCCGTTCTATTTGTGATGGCACTTGGGCTTTTTACTCATTGTTCATTTTCTTCCTTGTCCCTTCCATCCATTTGTCCTTGTTCAGCTGGGGACGAATCCAGCCTCTCTTCCTCATAGCTGTTCTTTACACATTTGAAAGGTGGCATCTTGTCATTTCACTCTTCTCCAAGCTAAACAGCAGCTCTGTGCTCAAAGCTCTTACATGTGACGTGCTGACTAGAAGATCCTCTGAATAATCTTGGGTTTGCCAGTTTTCCATTCCAATATGACACTTGGGCAAAACAGTTCAGCTGTGACCCAACACACACTGGACACAGAGGGCTGCTGTTGCCTTTGAACCTGACACTCGCTCAGTGCTGGCTCCATGTTTCCAGCAATCACATCACACCGCTCACTCCGTGTGCATCCAGCAGCATTTTCTGGGACATCACGTGGCCCATGCACTGTTCCAGGTGTGCAGGCACGGTCGTGGAGGGAAGGGAGCCTTGGTGTGCAATGCCAACAAGGCGTGTGAAGGCCTGATGTGAGGGTGCCCGTGCAGGCCACAGGTACATGGCAGGCTGCACCCCAGTGGGGCCACATAGTCGCCGTAGGGGAGCCTGGAAGGAGGAGAGGGAGATGGCCGTGGGTCTGTGCAGGAGAGCGCCCTGCAGGCAGAGGGACCGACTCATACCAAGGGGTACAGCGGGCGTGCAGCAGCTGCCTCAGGTCAGTGTGGCTGGAGCGCAGAGCAGACTCAGGAGTGGTAGAAAGGGCGCCTGCCACACCCTTTGCTCTCATTTTGTTTTCTGTGGCTGGTTTTTCCAGCTTGGAGATGTCCCTTCAGCCCTAGAAACTGCACTGGCCACACTGTCCCAGGTATTTCGCAACAGGAAGCCATCTCTGCGTAACGTTCTAACGATCTTAGGGACAGCATAGTTTGGAAGATAGAAAAAACATAATTGATGTTGAAACATGCACTTGAAAAAAACCCAAATTGTCAAGATGAAACAGAAGCATCCCGTTCCATCAGCGTGGCTGCCTAAGCTAACAGGCCCTTCTGAGCACAAGCACATACAGCCTGGATGAAACACAGCAGTGGAGGGGTCCACAGGCAGCTGCCGTCACCAGAAAGAGAGGGAAAGTTCCAGGTGCTACCGATAAAGAGGGAGCTGAGATCCAGAGCTGAGCACAGCCGGACTGACAGACAGAGGTTTGCAGGAGGGCGAGGAAGCCTTGGGCTGTGTGCGGGTGGGTTGGGGTCCTGCCTCTGTGTCCAGGGCTGCAGACCTGGAGAGGGCTGGCCCAATGGCTCACTGACCCCTGCCCAGGGCTCTAGGGGCAGAGCCAGCCCTCTGACAGACCTGGGTGTCCCGCCAGCCAGTTCAGTTCTGACGCTGACCACCCGCAGGGAGCGTCAGACCCCACAGGCTAAGGGCAGAGTCCTGGCGAGCTGCCCTCTCTTCAGACACTAGTCACACGTCTCGGGAACCACGTGCACTTCCGACCGACCAGCTGTTAATTTGAGAGTTCCCACGCTCCTGTCAGTTTGATAGTTGGCAAAAACGACTCTCAGAACTCACTGAAAGCACTGCTGTCATTGTAATCACAGTTTTATTATCAAGAATACATGCCAGGAGGACCAGCTGGATGAAGAAACATATGGATCGAAGGCTTGGAGGGTGCCGGACTCCAAGTTCTGTGCCCTCAGCCCCCGGAGTCCGGGCACATCGCTCTCCTATCATGGCAGTGTGTTCACCACCAAGGAGCTCCCCAAGCTTTGGGAGTCCAGAGTTTTATTGGTGTCTTAGTATGTCATGGTCACATGACTGAGCTCAGTCTCCATCCCTCTCCCCTCCTGGAGGCCAGGGGGTGGGCTGAAAGTGCCAGCCCTCGAATCACACATCTGACAAGGCCAGCCTCTCCCTTGAATCTATCTGAGGACCCAGCCCAGTCGCCTCCTTAGCATAAACTCACTGTGGTTGAAAGGAGCTCCCTACCGGTAACGGCAGAGCCTCACATCACTCAGGAGATTCTAAGGGTTTTAAGAGCTGTGTGCCAGGAACTGGGACAAAGACCAGATACGTTCTTGATTATACCACCCTGTGATAAATCAGCACGACACATGGCACGCACACGTGGGCATGGGGTTTCATGACCAGTGGGAGAGGACAAGTGTTAGGGGAGGCGAGGACAAGAGGACATGGCCTGGTCAGGTGGAGGCAGTAAGATGAAGAGAAGTCTAGGGACGTGAGATTTATTTTGGAGGTAGAACCAATGAGACTGGCCAATGGATTCTCTCAGGGCTGGGATGGGAAGCGTGGAATCGAAGAGTCCCAGGTGTCCGGCACTTGACCCCGTGCATCGGCTGAGGCGGGCTAGACGTGGACCCGGAGCAGATTTGGGGAGCCAGGAGCATCAAGGGTTTCCTCTGGGACATGCTAAGTGGGAGGCCAGGCATGCCAGGGTGCTGACATCAGCTGGGCAATACGACAGCCTTGGTGGGACCTCAGGATGGTCTGGCTGAGCTAATCTGGGACCCTGAAGAGGGAGAGGGAAAGCTGGCAGAGAGGCTGGGACCTGCCCACAAAATGGGAGTTCCCTCAAGAGTGTCGTCCAGGGAGGACATGCACAAGGCTGCCATCATCTGGGGGCCTGGGGCAGGCGGCACAGCTGCCCTGAGCCATGGGGTGGAAGGTGAGCCTGGAGGCTGCACAGAGGATGGTTATTTCCAGCTGCTTGGCCTGAAAGGGGCCAGAAATGAGGCAGCCGCAGAAGGGTGTAGGGTCAGGCGGGAGGTCCTCTCCCTTGCCTCCCCTGTTTCTCCTCCTTTTCTTTCTTCTTTCGCCTTCTCTCTTTCGCTCTCTTATTTCTTAGGACTGGGTCTATTAGCACATATTTGGATGCTGGTGGAGAAATTCCTGCTGTGCTTTTATGCTGCCATTCCTGCATTGTGGCAGTCTTGGTGATCTTGAACACTCCTGATCTGTGAGATATTTAGGGGGTAAAATCAGAGGGACCTGGCAGTGGATTGCCTGGGAAGGGATAGGGAGCTGTCCGCTGGGCCCCCGGGAACCTACGACTGGGTAATGCCTTTTCCTTAGGAACTGAGGGGAAGATTCCAGAGCCAGTCAACCAGAAAGATTATCTCTGGGAACTTTCTGCTGTCGGGAACCTCGGGCGTCTCCACAGGCTTGTCTGTGATGATAATGGCAGGTTTGAGGACTTTTTCCAGCATTACAGGGTCCCACTGAATGCTCACGGGCACCAGGTACTATTCTCAGCCCTGGTAATGCAGCAACTAACCAAACAACAGAAGCCCTGGCCCTCTGGAGCCTCCAGGCTGCTTCCAGGAGCACGCTCAGATCTGATTGTCTCGCAAAGGCAATGAGCTCCTTGGTCGTTTAGGCCCTTGTCAGGTGCATTGGTTCCCAGGGCCACTTGATGAATAGTCGCCATTAGCATTTGAGGAAGCTCTGAGACCCAAACCAACAGCAAACATAGAAAGCTGGCCTTGAAAATATTCCGATCTCGGTTGTATTATCTGCCACTGTCTACCTTAAACGCCAGTCTTAGCAAAGCCAACCAAGTCCTCATGGTTCGGTTAAAGCAGACCTGGCCCTCAGCTGCCCACAGCCTCCAGGGAGTAATTTCTCTCCAGAGCATCCTGCTGATGCTGGCGCACGAATGCCTGATGCAGTCGGCCGGGGCAGGCCCAGGAGCGGGTCCGGGGAGGCTGGGGGGGGTGGGCTGCCTGATAGCGCCTGACCTTGGGCGCCCATTGTCTGTCTTGTCTGTCCCCAGGCACTTTGAAGGCAGTCTTCCTCTTTTTCGCCTCCGTGTGCGCCTGGTACTCCGGGTACCTGCTGGCAGAGCTCATTCCAGACGTATCCCTGTCCAGTGCTGTTTACAGCATCCGGAGCATTGGTGAGAGGCCTGTCCTCAGAGGTGAGCACGGGTTGTGTCAAACCAGCAACTCTGCAGCTCGGCTGCAGTGGGAGAAGTGAGTGCTGGCCTTGGCTCTGCCTGGACTGGCCGTTTTACGTTGAGGAGGAGGAGAAGGAGGAAGGGGGGAGGGGGGGAGGAGGTTTATCCGTCCTTTAGTTCCCACACCATTCCAAGATAGGTACCCTTGCTCACCCTGGTGCGAGACCCCAAGGCAAATCATGATGTGAGGAAAACGAACAAAGAAACTTGACACAAGAGGTTGTGTTAAATAAAAATATGCTTTTGGAATACAACTCGAATTGGGAATGAAGTGAAATTACAAAATATCTGGTGTAAAAATTACATTGGAAAACATGTGGAATGCTAAAGTAATTATCTGTATCCCTCTTCAAAATCTCATGGTAAATAGATATGCTGGTATCTTTTTAATAAATTATACAAAGTTAATTTGCACAAATATAAAGAACTGGATATCCTTCCTTTTCAAATTTAATTACCTTTTATGGCCAAAAAAAAAGAGCTTTCTAGGAATTGACTATGACTGAGGTGTTTTTACTTTTAGTAAGGTTTTCACAGTGGATCTTGCAATCAGATAGGCTTATTGCATACAGGCCGTGGATGGGACCCAGTGCTGCAGGGGTGTCCCCACGTGTGGAGGGCGTGGGAGATACCCTCAAAGGGCTTCCTCTCTCGTTTCCTCGATTTTTACACAAAATGTGAAGTCTGTCCCGGACACCAGCTTGGCTCTCCGAGCTGCGTCTGATGCCAGTCTTTTTACAAGGGCTCATAAATGTAATTTCCAGTTCCCACCAGCGCGGCCAGGGCTGAAGCTGTCAAGTTAATGGAGTCTTAACGTTGGTGGGAGAGGTGTGGCAAGGGTGGCTAGGCAGCCGCTGCATCCTGGCTCCTGCTGGCTTGGAACCTCCACTTTGGAGGGATGCGTGGCTGCCTGGGGGTCTGGCAGGCTCTGAGTTGGGGGTTGAGCCCAGTGACTGGCAGGTTAGTGTTCCTGTGGCTGATAGGTTATAAAGGGGACTACATCATCCGTAGGGCCACACTGGCTTTGCGGCAAGACTTATTTCGCGCTGTTATCAGCGGTGTGACTGGGGGGGGGGGCCCCCAGGGAACGGCCTCCCTGTGGACACAGGTGGCCCTTGTCCAGGAGCATGCACAGTCCCTCGGCGCCCCTCCTGGGCTCCTCCAGACCGCTGCAGCCCTCTTGGGCCTGCTGAACAGGCAGGAGGGGTTGGGATTGCCCCTGCTGGACAAGGTTCCAGGGCTGGATTCAGTCCTGCAGTCAGCAGGGGCCGTGGAATGTCCCAGTCCTCGGGGCTCTGCAGGGGCCCTCTGCCGCTCCCCTAGAGTATGTTTGTTCTCAGTGTTGCCAGCCCCTGGTCCACATGAGGGCAGTGACTGGCACATCTTGGGGGAAAGCTGGAGCAAAGGAAGGAGCACGTTGAGATGTGAGGTCAGTCTTGGGCTGGCACTGAGAGAAGAGGAAACCAAGGCACAGAGTGCTCCACCCCATGGCCGGCCGAGGCGGCCCACTGAGACCCCCAAGCTGGGACACCTACTGCAGTGCTGCATCCTGCCCCCTGGGGCTTTCACTCTTCTAATCCATGATTTGCTTTTCCCACTGCATTGTCTCTTCTTTCACAATGACCTATCTCCCAGCACAGCTGGAGGGCTTCCATCCAGCTCTGGATTTCCCGAGGCGGGTTCATATCCCGCAAGTTCGGGCTCTCCTGGGTTCACACCATCTATACCCTGGACGTTGCCTCCTGCCCCTCCTCCGAGGTTTTGAATCTGAGCTGGTCAGCAAGTGCCCTGGGTCACGCTGGTTTCTCGACAGGGCCTCCCCCTTCCTCCTCAGGATCTTCAGAGCAGCTCCCCGGGCTCTGTCCCCTCTCTGCCTTCCCTCTGCCTCGTATTTCGTGGGTGGCTCAAGTCCCACGCTCAGCCCGTCTGCTTTATGAAGACTGCTCTCCTGGAAAGGCCTGAAGCACAGCCTGGCTCCTCCTGCCCTCCAGGGCTCAGCCTCCTGGTGTGTCCGCTCCCCAGAGCCTTTCCTCCCCTCCCCGCCTCCTCCCTGCCTCTCCGCCCCTGTCTGTCTGTCCGTCTCCTGGTCCCTGCCCCATTCGAACCTCTGGTCGCGTGATGGAGTTAACATGCCCTGTTATCCCTGCACTGGCCCAGGCCTCCCTTATTTTATTTATCTCTTCTGTTTCATTCCCACTTCCCACCCCAATTTCCCCCACCCCTCTGAGGTATTCAGTGAGACCTCTCTGTTTGAATACCTCATTGCAGAATGCGCTGCTCCATTCCGGGTGTGGTGTGTGTATTCTGGCTTAGGTGACAGACCACATTCTGTTTCCTTGTTGTCACTTAGTGCCACGCCCGAGGACCCTTCTGCTGTGGGCACCTCTCCTCCCCGGCTGCTCGCTGCTGTGTCGGGCCTAGGGTGTGACTCCTCCTAGTGTCCCTTCTGGATTGCCTCCAGCTGGTCACCGCACAGATGCTGTGGCAGGGAATGTCCCACACAGTCACCCGTGGACCTGGGTGAAACTGTATTTTGCATTTATAACCCAGGAGTGGAACTGTTAGACCATGGGGTCCACATCAGCATGATCTAAGTCATGCCCGACGCATTTCCAGAAGGGCCTGTCTACACTCCCACCAGCAGCACGTGGGGCTCCTGTCCCCGACACCCTCACCAACACTTGCATGATCCAGCTTTGTGATTTTGCCAGTCTGACGGGTATAAACTGCTGTGACAAGCATTTCTCAGGTTACTGATGAATTTGAGAACACCAAGTCACACTTGAGGTTCTTATTTCTCTGTGATGGGCAGGACAAGGAACAAAGAACAGCTTAGGGAAGGAACCCAGACTCATCGGAACCTCTATACGGCTTGATCCCCAGCCCCCTCGGGCGGCCGGGGCGCCCTTGTGAAAAGGCCCTGAACTGGTGGGCGAGTGACCTGTGCCAGGCAGGCGGCGACCGAGAACACAGTGCTGTGTCACTGTTTTTAGGCCTTTGTCTCAGGCCCCCTCTTCTGTAAGCGGCATGTTCGTACCTTGCCCATTTTCTGTCGGTGTTTTTCGCTTTCGTGTTGATTTCCAGCGAGTTTCTCATACATATTGAGCTATTAGTGCCTGTTTCCTTCATAGCACATATCATAGTCTGTAATGATCTTCTTTGACTTACTTCTGTCTCTCCTATTCGTAAGCTGTTCGATTCACTGCTGTCCCTGTCGAGTGGAGGATAGTATCTGGCGTTTAATGCATATTTGTGTAGTAAGAATTTGTGAATGAGTAAAGAAAGGAATCTAGTTTGGAAGCAATATATACGGACCACAGACACAGCTTACCACACCGGGCTGTAAAGGAGAATAACTCGAAAGAGAGCCCTGTTGAATTCAGCTTCCATATACTTCCGATATAAAGTTGTTCAATCATTGTCTTAGAAAGTCTTGTCAGACGAAACTAAACCAAACCAATCAGCTGCATTAACCCGCCTGCCTGGGCTCTCAGCCAAGATGAAATGAACTGACAGCCGTCCAGTGACTGCTGTTGAGGGAATACTGATGGGAGAGCCAGGAAAACGAATTTTTAATTCTAATCCTGCCATTACCTAACTGTTAAGGCCTGTGAGTTGTTCCTCATCTAAAAATGAAGGAATGGGGCTGGCCCGGTGCGCAGCGGTTTAGTGCGCAAGTTCTGCTTCGGCGGCCCCGGGTTCACTGGTTTGGATCCCGGGTGCAGACATGGCACTGCTTGGCAAAAGCCATGCTGTGGAAAGCGTCCCACGTATAAAGTAGAGGAAGATGGGCACGGGTGTTAGCTCAGGGCCAGGCTTCCTCAGCAAAAAGAGGAGGATTGGCAGCAGTTAGCTCAGGGCTAATCTTCCTCAAAAGAAAAATTAATTAATTTAAAAAATTTTAAAAAATATAAATGAAGGAGCATTGTAGATGACATCTCTATCTAAGGCTCTTTCCAATTCTGAAATAAATCCTACCTGCTACGTTGCCGTGTCCTCTGAAATTCAGCTCTACTCAGTAAAAATGCCGTATCACAGGTTTAAACACGTCACATGGTCCACATCTCAGTGTCCCCACGTGGAGGGCGTATGAGCAACATGCTACTTGCATCTAGGGTGGCACAGGGACAAAGCCCCAGTGAAGGTGACCCAGCGCTGCATCCACATAGTCTGTCCCAAATGGCCACCCGCCCACTCCACGCTGTGCCAGGAGTTCAGCATCTTTTCACGTTGGCCTCGCTGGGCCCAGTGAACCAGCGCACTGACCATCTGTTGCCCTGGCCTCACCACACTCAGGCGCCCGGTAAATCACTGTCGCTGATTAGCAGAGAGACGAGCTTGCTGTCTGCCTTCCGCCCTTTATTTTTGTGGGCTAGACTTTAACTGCATGCACAGCTGTAAAGTGACTTAAAATAGATGAAAGGCCGTCAGCAAACAGGTAGCCATCCTTCTTCTTTGCCTGGTATACACGCCAAGATCATATTTCTGAAGTCATCGTCTTCATTTAAAGGGATGAATGAGATTATCATTCCCAAGTCAGGAGGTATTTAAGAAAGACAGATTCCTGGACCCAGCTCGGGGAAATTACAAAAATCTCTGGGTCCAGAGTGGAGTCTAAGAACCTGTATTTGTTTTAACTGATGTAAGGACCAGACAGGCCAACTTTGCTCAGTAGGAGAATAACGTCTAAGACAGAAATTCCCAGCAGAGGCCCACTGTGTCGGGAGTGATGTTGCCAATGAGGGCATTCCGTCTCTTAAGCTAACGGATTCTGCAGGAGACACAGGAGCGGGACACAGACTGGCAGGGCCTCAGCGTCAGTGTATCCATGTGAACGTTACCTTTCGATTTTTTGGGAAGGAATTTCAGAAAACAGCACTGAGGACCTAGATGTGGCCCTCTGTGACCGTGATGGGAGAAGAGGCAGGACTGGAAAAAACTCCCTCTTCTCAGGAGTCACATCTGCCTCTCCGTGTCCCCCCCGAATAAGGAAGACGATCTTCTGCCTTCGTTCACAGAGCGACATTTTGTGCTTCTAGGAAATGGATGGAAGGTTAAGAAAGCCTTAAAAAAAGGGCCATACAAGTTGCCCAGCCTTTGCTGGGTACTGCAAGAAAGCATAAATACCCATTTCCATGCCACCCTTGGGCCCTAGAGTCACATTCTCCGTGGAGAATCTGATGAAAATCAAACGCCTCCCTTGTAGAAAACCTGCCTGCTCTTATCCACGTGAACAGAACCCATGCTTTGCAGGGACCTTGGGTTCGAAGCTCTGCCCTCGGCGGGCAGGGAGCCTCGCTCCAGGCAAAGCACAGGGTCCTGCGTCCAGGGCACCCCGGTGCCCAGGGGAGCTGGCCGCCACGTGGGCAGTAAGGCCCTTGCCTGGCGACCTGCCCATTGTGCTGTTGACCCCACGGCAGGAGGAGGGCGGTGGGGAGGCATCCGTATGAGACCCCCAGAAATGGGACAGCCGTTCTGAGAGGCTCTGGTGTCAAGCCTTTGGGGTCAGAGGGCAGGAGAGAGAGGCAGGTGGAGTCTTTTCCTGGACGGTGCTTGCTCGGCTGGACTGGCCATCCTGTCCCTGTGCCAGAGTCCCAGCCCACTTTGTCCCATGTCATCCCTCTATCTCTTCCAGCTCTGCTCTCATAGAGAACGCCCGGCCCCCTCTCCTGCCCGGAGTCCCAGCTCCCGCTTTCCCTTGTCTGCTCTCAGTTTGGGGTCTGCTGCCCCCGCCTCGGGCACTGTCATGGGAGGCGTGGTGGTGCCTGGGTGCTCTTTGGGGTCGTTACTTGGGCTCACAATGCCTGTTGGAGCCGGTGCCAAAGAAAGAAGGGGAGGGAATGAGAATGGGGGGCGGGGTGGAAGCCGGGGTTCCCACTCCCACAGGTGCAGCCTCACAGGGGCCTTTTTAAAAAAAAATTTTAGTAAATCTGGAAGTTCACCTAGAAACCATTCACTGCTATTTTTATAGTGAAAAACATATTTTAAGTCAAAACTGTGATTTGGTATGTTTGCAGGCACACCCTTAGCTGAATCGTGCAAACACTGATGACTTTATGAATCTTTCCAACATTTTTGCAAAGAAGTGCTCTAGCCTCAGGCCTGGTACCCTCTCCTCCATCACTCAGAGGTGTAATTTCTGACTTAGGGCGAGCTTTGCTCTGCTTTCTGAGCCCTCTGGGAGCTCACTGAGCAGACCCTGAGGTTGCACAGTAGGTGGTCGGCTTGCCAGTTGGTGGCAGGAAATGGGAGGGCGGAGTGTTTATACCCAGTCGGTCGTCGCTCCTCAGGGTTCAGCTTCAAGAGCAGCGTGGTGGATGCTCTGTGGTGGCTGGGAATCTTTCTCCGGCTCGTTTGCAGTGTCAACAGACCATGTTTGCCTGCTTCTGATTTTCCAGCTGGCTTTAAAACAGAGCAAAATACCTGTCCCGGTTTCCCTCCCTAGTCCTCTGTTGTTCTGTCTCCAAACTTCCGTGTCCCGTGGGGCTCGGAGATCCCTGGGGTCCTCGGGGTCCTTGTGGCCCTGTCTCTGAAGATCCACTGGCGCCGGGGCTGTGTTAGACCGTCTAGCTCTGCGAACGTCGCAGCGCGGCTGTCAGGCGCGGCACCCTCAGCGAGGACCTAGGTCCTTCGCATCGTCTAGCTGAGAAGATCCCGGAGCCGGCACACTGCTGCCGGGGCGTGACGATGGCAAAGGGACCTGGAAACAGCATCCTCCTCGGAGAGCAGAGGGCCGGCTCAGTGAGTCTCAGGCCAGTTGTGCTGAGAACAGCAGGGTCCACAGGAAGTGAGCAACGCAACGCCCGCCGTGTGCTGGTTCAGGGAAAGGGGTCGCCTGCGTTAAGGGAAAGGCGGGCGAGAGGAAGGATGAGTGTGGACTCCACTCTAGAGCGTTCTCTCTAGATTGAGTATAGTCCGTTCAGGACGTCTGCAAAGCCGGGAAGCGGGGCACGCCTACTTTAAACAGGATGTAAGTTACATTTGCAAATACTATGCTCACTGTGGTTTTGGGTAAATGATCTCTAAATTTAAAGTAATGAGCACTATTGTTAAATTTGTTTAAATTAAAATTAATACACCGTAGTGTCCAAAAGTCTAGAAACACTGGAAAGATACTGTATTTATAACACTTTTCATGTCATTAGTTGGATCTCTTGCTTTAAATTTAGGTTTCTGGAAATGGAGAAAAAGCATATTGAGTATGTTATTTGAAAATGTAAGTAACGTAGCATACCATGTAAATGTGTTTAGTCTGTATTTTCCAGCTTTGCAGATGCTCTCTGTGTGCATAGAAAAGTCTAGAGGGAAATATGCTGAAAGCTGAAACAGTGAAGATTCTTCAGAGTGAAAACATGTGGGATTTTTTTTCCTTATTTTTGCTTTTCTATTACTTTTGATTTTTTTCTGCAGAAATTAAATCAGGCAAGATAAAATCTCATGGTCCTTTCTTATTTAAAAGACGAGGGCTCAGTCTGCTGGAGTAGGTGCAGAATTCTGCCCGACCAGCCGGGGGGCCAGATGTCCGCGTGTTTGTTCCGCAAACATTGGTAGGGCAGCCGTGTGCGGGCACCTGGTGTGGTGCTGGAGGTGCAGTGAAAAGTAAACAGCCAGCAGCCTGGCCCTTGGGGAGAATTTTTTAAAAAAGGAAACATTAGGATATTAGAAAGTGATGAGAGCTAAGAAAAAGAGGATAAACCAGGGCAGGTGGGCAGCTCGGGTGGGCAGTGATGGGGATGGGGCCGGTGGGGAGGAGGAAGATGTGGAGGGGATGAGTAAGCGCGATGTTGGGGTGCACCCTCCCTGGGGAACTCTGCTTTCTCCTCCCGGGCACCGAGGGCAGGGCTCACGCCCACATCCCTGTGGTCACCAGGAAGTCTGCCCGTCCAGCTCATCTGCCCGTCCAGCTCATCTGCCCGTCCAGCTCGGCTCGCAGTGACCGTGCTTGTCTGCAACCCGACTCTCCCCAGCAGGGCCTTCCAGAGCGGGGCTGTTTGCCTTCCTCATGGTATCTCATCTCACGCGTGTTTTGCCACTTGACTGGCTATCCTCCGTAGCCCTGTGTCCCAAATCGGAGAAGCACCGTAATCCATAAATCGGAGCCACATCTCCAGTCAAACTGGAGGAGTGAGAGCACTTTCTAAATGTTTTTCTGGGGATCAGGATTTAAATGCGAACCGAGCACAGCATGATGGGTTCTGTGGGCTAGGACAGGCAGCCACACCTGTGATGTGAGCCGGGAGACGCACCTGGTAGTGAGGGCAGCACAGCATCCCTCAGTGGGAGTGCATGGTGGGCATCCAGGGCCGGCGGGCTCCTCAGGCAGGTCCCCAGTTCTCCCTGGTTGCTGACCCTTGTGAAATGGGGGTGCTGGGCAGACATCTCCAGGGCTGGCCAGTACTGACGTCATAGCACCCCAGGCAGGAAATCTCAGTGCCTCAGGCTCAAGGGGAAGGAGAGGCGTCAGCTAAGGCCAGAGTGGGTGTCAGATGAATGTGTGTGTCAGGGTATGTAAATGCAGAAGCTGGGAAGATGCCCCGTAGATGGCTATTTCTTCATTCACCAGCACTCTCTCACCTAAGTAATCTTTCTTTGATTGTAATACAAAATACACATTGCCTGCCAAGAATGGCAGGTAGACGGCCAGCCAAGGAGCAGGTTCCCAACCCTTTTGAAATTGTTATGCCTACTCAACATGTCCCCATCCCCCACCTCCGCCTTTTGCATATTTGTGATTTTAAGACAAAAGCACATTACATTGACTTTGTGTCTTTAGAGGAATTTCCGATGCTCCCAGTGAAAGTTGGCGACCCCTTCCCCACTCCAGTTTTTTCCCCCGCTCCCCTGGGACTTGCCTGTGTGAAGTCCTGGGATAGAACGGCTGCCATTCATGGTCAAGGAGTGAGTTTCTCTGATAAATACTTGCATGATGCTAACTCTCACATTCTTGTTCCTTACAGCCCCAGCCCCTAAAAGGCAAAAATGTGACATCTGGACCTCGTGCCCCCCGAACACCTATGCCTACCGGTTACTCAGTGGGGGTGGCAGGGACAAGTATGCCAAGATCTGCTTTGAGGATGAGCTGTAAGTACCAGTGTGGAAAAAGAAAACATAGCTGTCCCACCTGATTCTCCCCCTTCTCTGAGGCTGACCACGCAGCAAGGCTGCCCCCCACCCCCGGGGAGAGAAGGGTATGGCCTTGACCTCAGGCAAAAGCTGAGAGCATCCTCGTGGAACTGAGAATGCCATGCCATGTTCGTTGAGGGGACGTGGGTTGTCTTCTATGGCTTTATGTGTCCCCGTGTTGAACTTTCATTGACAGCACGTGGAGCAAACTTTAGTTTATATTTTGTACTCTTTGGAATATGTGGCCTAGCCCTTCAAAGTCATGGAAACACCAAAATTCAGCAGACGGTTTTTCTTCCACTTTGCTTTATGGTCCTCACCCTCGTGGGTTAAAGCAGGTGTGGCTTCTCTTTGCAGCCCCGCCTCCATTTAGCTTGTCTCAGGTTCCCCTTGACTCCTTACCCCCCCGTAGCCTACGTAAATCCTGGCGCTTGGAGCGGGTCTGAGTGTAGGGTGGTCCTTTGCTAGGGTGGCCATACCAAACTAGTGCAGCCTTGGTGTCTCAGATGACAGAAATTTACTGTCTCACAGTCTGGAGGCCGGAAGTCCAAGATGGAGGTGTGGGCAGGTGAGCGCTGGTTCCGTCTGAGGCTGTGGGGACAGTCTGTTCCATCCTCTCGTTGGCTTGTAGATGGCCGCCTTCTCCCTGTGGCTTCACATCGCCTTCCCTCCGTGTGGGTGTCTGTGTCCAGATTCCCCCTTTTAAAAAGGACACCAGGTATATTGGGTTAGGGGTCACTCCAAAGACCTCATTTGACTTATCACCTCTTTGGAGGTTCTATCGCCAAATGGGGTCTCATTTGGAGGTACTAGGGGCTAGGATTGCAACGTTTGAGTTTTGAGGGAACACAGTGCCATCTATGACACCCAGCTTAAGGAAGCTTAGGCGATTAAATAATGACTACAGATGAGGGAGAATGGGGCTCTTCCTACGCTGAGGAGGACGTCGTTCCGAGTTATCCCAGCCCTTTCTCCAAACCTGGCACACCCTCCTTTTTGCTGTTGGTCTGTCTGTTGCCCACAGCACTTGGCACTTGCTGCATTTCCCTCCCTCCGTCTTTCAGTTCGTTTGTCTCTGTATGTACCGTGTCCTCCCAAGGAGCGTGTAGCACACCTGGGGCGTGAGCTGTGTCGTGTTCAGCTTCACACGCCTTACACGATCTCAGCGTATCCCCCGTTCAGTATTTGAGACTTGAGTAGGAATAAGGCCCTCTCCTCTCAGCCAGGAGGTTATTGATAAACGTCATTCACCGATGAACTCCCCAGTGTAGGACGCTCAATGGGGGACAATGACAGTGCACATGTGGCTCTTGCCCTTAAGGAGCTATGTCACCGCTCAGGGTTCTCTACCTCCACTCCATGGACATTTTGGACCAATGATTCTGTGCTGTGGGCACCGCCCTGTCCGTTGTAGGTTGAGCAGCATCTCTGGCCTCCACTCACTAGATGCCGTAGACATCCCCTCCTGTTGTGACAACACACATGTTCTCCCCAGACATTGCCACATGTCTCCTTGAAAACGGGGCAGGATCCCGTGGTAAAGTAGAGGAGGGAAGCCCTGGGAGGGAGTGGGGACAGTGGGATGGGGTCTCTCATCCAGAATCATATCGCTAGACAGAAGTGGTTCCAAGTCAGATCCCAGAGCCCAGGATTTCCCCTCTGCACGGGGCCCGGAGCCTTCTGCCGACCACGGTGGAAGAGCAACAGCAGCATCCCTGCCTACTACAACCGACTCCCTCCTGTCTTCACTTCATGTGACTCCCTGTGAGGTAGGCACTGCTATTATTCCCACGATACAGACGAGGAAACTGAGGCACAGAGAGGTTCAATAACGTTCCCCTCATCACACAGCTGGTTAATGGCAGAGCCAGGAGTCCACCCTGGCGTACACAGAACATGCTGGGTTGACCGACTTGAATCCCGTGGTCTAAAGTAACTAACTGTGTGGATATGTTGTACCCAAATGTAGCTGGCCGGCTTTCACTCCGTCCTCTAGATGTTTTTGAGAATACAGGGCAGCATGAAGCAGGGTAATCTCAAATAAAACAAGTTAAAAGGAACAGCGGAATAAACACAGCCGGATGCCTGAGAAGAGACTCTGGTTTAGCATCCTGTTTTCTTGTCACCAACTCATGCAGCAAAACCAGCTGGGTTGCAGAGATCTCATTGTCTGATAAAATAGCCAGGTTTGTGTAGAAAGACAAGTGGTTTTCTTGTCTCATTCGTGGGTTTCCTGGGTGCCTGCGGACGTCACCGCCCGGGACAGCCTCCTCCAGCTCTCGGGGGCTCCTTGCTTCCACGTCTCCAAATAGCAGGCTTCTGTCACCGCGTCTTGGTTTCCCATTTAGGCATGAACTGCTGACTCACCACTCGGTAGGCGAGAGGTCTTGCATCACCACCCAATTCCTGTCCTCTTTCCTTACTGTCGTCCTGATTGAGTCATTATACTGTCATTTTGGTTGGATCGAAATCCATCATTTACATTACTGTGACTGTCAAAAGAAATTTCAGAGGGTTTTCCTGGATATGAATATTTTATTGAGCGAGAAACAAACAGCCTGACAACAAGGAGACTTTCAAACCAAAGGCAGTTAGGGAGCGGGGCTCCCAGTAGTTACAGCTCAGTTTATGAAGCAGGAATCAGTAAGGGATTTCTATTGTGATTTGTGACTAGAAACACGTTTCTTCCCATTTCATAAGCTTACTTGCCTTATGCTTCCTTGCATAAGCTTAGCTGCAAGGTCGCACTGACGTGAAGGGTGCTTCCTTTTTGTTTTTCCAGTTATTTTATTGAGGTCACAATGATTTATAACATTGTGTAATTTCAGGTGTACATTATTATTTATCAATTTCTGTACAGACTGCATCGTAGTCTAATTTTTACCTGTCACCAAACAAATGTGCCCCTTTACCCCTTCCCCACTATTAACCACCAATCTGTTCTCTTTATCCCTGTGTTTATCTTCCACATGTGAGTGAAATCATGTGGTGTTTGTCTTTCTCTGTCTGGCTTATTTCGCTTAGCACAATACCCTCAAGGTCCATCCATGTTGTTGCAAATGGGACGATTTTGTCTTTTTATGGCTGAGTAGTATTCCATTGTATATAGCTATATACCACATCTCCTTTATCCAGTCATCAGTCCATGAGCACTTGGGTTGCTTCCATGTCTTGGCTATTGTGAATAGTGCTGCAGTGAACATAGGGGTGCATGGGTCTCTTTGGACTGTTGATTTCAAGTTCTTTGGATAAATACCCAGTAGTGGGATGGCTGGGTTATATGGTACTCCTATTTTTAATTTTTTGAGAAATCTCCATACTGTTTTCTATAGCGCCTGCACCAGTTTGCATTCCCACCAGCAGTGCGTGAAGGTTCCCTTTTCTCCACATCCTCTCCAACGTTTGTTATTTTTTGTCTTGGTAACTATAGCCATTCTGACAGGTGTAAGGTGCTATCTCATTGTAGTTTTGATTTGCATTTCCCTAATAATTAGTAATTTTGAACATCTTTTCATGTGTCTATTGCCCACCAGCAGTGTTTAAGCGTGGTAACCATGAGAATGTGCTTCTCAGGTCTCCAGTTGCAGGGAGTTCATTGACCAAGGGTTCCAGATAGTAAGACCCTCGTCTCAGTTGGGCTGAGTCGGAAGGATGCTTATAGCAGTATCGGCCCCCGCTCAGGATCTCACTCCTCCAGGGAGGGCTGTGTACCTTAGGGTGGCTCCTGCCTGGCGGGCTGAGAAACTCCGCTGCTCCTGAAGTTGGCTTTTTACCTATCCAGAAGGACTTTCTGCCTCTTCCGCCTTAGTCAGGACTGTCCCTTGTTGTGGGGGTTCTTTTTATCCAGTTTTCAGTTTTCTATCTAGGGTAGTTTTTCCAAAAATAGTTGTAACCTGGTTGTGTTCATGGGAGGAGATGAGTTCAGTCTGCCTACACTGCCATCTTGAAAAGATCCTCGGACCAAGAGTTCCAGCTGCTGCATTCTGAAGTCCATAGCCTGTTTGCCTGAGGCCATGCTTCCCATGGGCTGCTCCTAGCCAAGGACTGAGCACCGTTAAAGAAAAAAATATTCATGCCACTTGTTGAATATGCTAAGGCAGGCTTTATTCAAGGGGGGCCATGGCAATAGCTGTAGGACCATTGTCGTGGGGTCTTGCAGTTGGGGAGAGAGATGGGGTTCAATACAGCATGAGCAAGTGGGAGTTTGTAGACGAGGAGCGGGGTGGGGCTCAGTGGATAGAAAATTACTAAGTGGAAACATCAGGGGTGAGGTGGAGGGATTCTGGCTAAACCAACCTAACAGGATTCTTGCTAACAGCAGAACAGAGTATCAGATGTCACCTGGAGGATGGTGGAGGATGAGGAACCTGATCAGATATGGAGGGTGATCAAATATCAAAGGGGAGGGCTCCTAGTTAAACTGACTTAGCAGAATTCTTGCCAAAATTAGACAATGCAGAGATAAACACAGAAGTCAAAAAGTCAGGCCTAGTTGAAAAAGAGCTCAGGGAGGCTGAGTAGAGTTTAGTGAAGGAGACAATCCTCCTCAGCACAGAGGGACACCAGGCAGGGCCATTCTTGGGAGACACAGGCTCTGCTGATGGCTGCCTTGGGTTCCAGGTTGCCCCAGTGGCCTTACTGTACCCTCCTGAGACCGAACGGCAGCCCAGGCACGTCCACCCAAGCTTCTCCCTCTCCTTCTCAGAGAGTCAGACTCGCATCATGGTCTGACAGCTCTCCTGGCTTAACCCAGCTCCCTCCCATCTTGTGTTGTAGGCGTTTCCCCTAATAAAATGTCTCATGCACTTAATCCTGTTCTGGTGGCTGCTTCTCAGAGGACTCAGGTTAACACGACAAGAATGACTGTTTCCCCACAGTCTGTCCAAAACAGCAGTTGACCTTTTGCCATTCTGTTGATCTTTGCCATTTTGAGTGATGACAATTGGAGTCTCAGATCA